ATTCCTGTGATTCAAACACTAAGTATGTGTGTATATAGCCAGTGTCTGCTTTTATGAATTAGTATTCCTATTGGCCGTGCATGGCCAATTGCTCATGTAGAATTGGGGTACAGGAGACCTCCTCCCACATCTGCTCCCAACTCCCTTGCCCTGTGGTATGAAAATTCAAACACAGGAGCTGCTCAGAAAGAGTCATGGTAACCATTTGTCCAGTGTCTAGATTCTTTTCCTCTGAGAGTGTAGAGTGTAGGTAGGGTATCCTGGAGTCCAGAGGATCTGGAGGGTGGGGAGAGAATGGTTCCTGGGCCACACTGGGAGTAGGGTGAGCTTAAACCTACTTTGAATCAGGGATGAGGTATAACAGAGAATTAGCTAGATAAATCTCTTGGGTATAGTCACCGTTTACCAGTTCAGGACATTGCTTGTTGACATTTTTTTTTTTCTTTTGAAATTCCCTTGAAATCACTGTAAGGGTTTCTAACTAAGAATTTTCTTAACTTCAAGTCTTAGAGAAGAAATCAAGTTTTTTTTTGTTGTTGTTTTTAATAACAGCTTTGTTGAGTTTCCCTGTAACAGTCAGTCATGCCCTGATGCATAGTCAAATCGTTTTTAATGTGTGTGTTCACAGTTTATACTCCATCATGACAATAAATATTAAAAGTATTTTATCACCCCAAAGGAAACCTTAACCCACTGTACATATTTTAAATGAGCAAGTAAAACATTTTGTTTATAGTCAAGCTGTCTAGACTAATCTCCAAGTATTTTGATTGAGGCTCTAAGTTTACCAGATAAGGGTCTGATTGAGAGCTACGGTACTATTTTTAAAGGGAAAATGAGTTAAGAAACTCCTGTGTTGCACCTGGTCTTTCATATGTGAGGACAAGGATGTATTCTGTGCCGTCCCATCCCTCCTATTTAACATGATACCCAATCATGTGATGATTAGTAACGAATGATAGTGATAGGTTTCAGTGCCATAGTTTGAATTGAGCAGGTAGCAATTTCAGCGCCGTGGGCACGTGTTCTTATCTGCCCACAATGAGAAAAAACAAGTTCAGGTTGTTTTTCTATAGGCCTGTCATCTTCTTGCACATGTTCCGTGTGTCATCTTTCTGTGAATAGGCTGCAGCAGGGCAGCCCTTTGATTCCTGTAAGACACATCCAGTAAGGTGTGCATCACTAAGCCAGGCAGTGGTGGCTCACGCCTTTAATCCCGGCACTCGGGAGACAGGCAGGCGGATCTCTGGGAGTTCGAGGCCAGCACCTGGCCTAAAAAGAGAGTTCTAGGACAGCCAAGATGGTTACACAGAGAAACCCTGTCTCAAAAAACAAAACCAAAACCAAAAAAAAAAAAAAAAAAAAAAAAAAAAAAGATACGTAGCTGGAGAGTTTTCTCTCTGGGTCCCGCCAAACCCCGGCAGTTCAGTAGCCCACTTATAAAATAAACACATAGACGCTTATATTATTTAAACTGTTTGGCCTAATGGCTCAGGCTTCTAGCTATCTCGTTCTTACATCTCAAATTAATCCATTTCTATAAATCTATACCTTGCCACGTGGCTCGTGGCTTACTGGCGTCTTCACATGCAGCTTGTCATGGCGGCAACTGGCAGTGTCTCCCCCTGCCTTCCTGTTCTCTCAGTTCTCCTCTCTGTTAGTCCCACCTATCCTTCCTGCCTGGCCACTGGCCAGTCAGTGTTTTATTTATTGACCAATCAGAGCAACACATTTGACATACAGACCATCCCACAGCAAAGATATGCGTAGCTAGTCTGAAATAGCCAACTTAAGTGGCTTTTCCAAGGACTGCCATTAGTGTCTCCTGGCTGCAATTGGATGTCACTTCACACAAGACAAACTGCAGTTCATCCTGTGCATTGGAATTGGGGCTGTAAAATCCCAGTTGACAGAAGGAAGGCAAGCCTGTGATTTACTCTCACATCATCTAGGGAAGAAGATGCTGGGACAGAGTAACCTTGGTATGTGGGCCAGGTGACCTCCCGCCAGCCATGGCTTTTGGTGTTAGCTCCTTTTACAAATACCAGGATTAATGCCTCCAATTACGCCCAGTCAGAGGCCTTGTTTCTAGGGTTACTAATCTGTTTCCAGCACTTGCCCCTTAGCACTGGTCTCTCATCACGGAGTCATACCCACGGACCACCCAGCTATCACACAGTCAAATCCTGGGCTCCGGGGAAATGTTCACGTAGTAGTTCATACCTTCCCTTGCGAACTTCTGGAATTTGTTACTTTATTTATTTAATTCTCTCCAAATAACAGTCCACATGCTTCTCACTGCCTGGCTTTAAGGGGGGAAAAAAAGGAAAGCCAAAGGTAAACACACATACACAAACCCAACATCCTTATAACCCCTATGACCTCAAACGAAAAACTCTTACCCACTGTTGCCTGAGACCTTTTGTTCTGTGAAAGAAGGAATGCTGGGTGGTTCTGCCTTGGTGGGCCACACAATTTGTGGTTTTTCCCAGCTGTGGCTTCTCTTTTCTCCATTTCCATTGCGTTGATTTCATCTCCTTCCTTGGTTATTTTGAGACAGTGGGAGGAATTGAATTTGAAGGATGGTTTCCATTGTTTAGAAATAGTTGGTCCAGAAGCCCTAGGCCTGCAACAGTTTGGTAGTACTTGATTATCATTATTTCTATTTTGCAGTCATTTCATCAAAAAGTGGTTTGTTTTCACATGGACAAAAACAGCTCAGTTTTGGTTTATCAGTGGGGTCCACTTTGACAAGTGTGTTCCTTGTTCGATGTATGTCTCTTCTAGGTACTCTGTGGTTAAGTCCTCAGCAATTAACAGTGTGTAATTACGATCGATGCACTTTCCAAGGCAACATGCATTCCGTCTCTTCTGCGGAGACTGGGGAGATGGAAAGGACCATGAAAGGACTCACTCAGCGGCATGAGACCCCCAAATAAATGCCATCTAAATGCTTTATGACGGCCTTGTTTCCATGCCCTTCATCCATGGGCTCTGCTTGATGGCATCAACAATGATGGAAGCGAACACATCAGAGGGTAGCGTGTAGGGTGACCATCGGGAGAGGGATGAGTAGAGTCATTCACTTCCTGTGTCTACCCCACTTCTGACCTCATACATCATGTTTATTTCAGATAAGACTGTGGCGTAACACAAGGTGGGTTTGAAAGACTAAAAATAATAGCCAGGAGTGTTAAATATTTATCCACTATTCCTTAACTCTTAGCTACAGCGCTGCTAGTTAGAAGCTTACCCATGACGACTTCAGTGAAGTAGAGTTTTGCCATTTATTTATTGAGTACTTACTGTGGTGGGGACTTCCACATGGATTATTTTGTCTTTCTGACCTAAGTGCACTTTGCTTTTTTTTTTTTTTTTAAAAGACTAAGTTAATGAAAATAATAAATTCTGCACTCTATTTTAACACAGGCTTTGGATTTGGGGTTTTGATTGTGAAATTGTATAGAACAGTGAAGAAAGCGTGCTTCATGATGGCAGACAAGCGTCTTGACATCTCTCAGTGTGTGTGTGTGTGTGTGTGTGTGTGTGTGTGTGTGTGTGTGTGTACATACGATTTTTTGTTTTACTCCGAAAACCTTACATCCAGTTTCTAGGGGACAGAGATGTTGTCTCCCAAGTGTGGTAATTGCTGAAGACTTGCAGCACCAACTAAGAGTTGCTGGATCTCAAAAAGGAAAAAGGACCGGGAGAATCGTAACATTGTTTAGAGTGGGTCCCCTGAGGAATGGGGTATTTATGAGGGAGGTTTTGTTGTTCCTGGCATTTTCTACCAACTACACTGTGCGATTAAGAGAAGCCAGGGAGGGAGGCAAACCCTGGAAAAATAAGTAAGGAATGAACAGCATGTGTAATAGGGACTGTTTTTTCTATCATCGTCTATTATTCCTGCCTTCAAAAGGAGGTAAATTGTATAGTTGCAAAATGGAGGCTATATAAAGAGATTACTTCAAGTGGTCATGTATTAGTTTGGTTTTTATTACTATAATAAAATACCCCTGCCTGGGTAGCACTGTCAAGAAAGAAGGATCATCAGTTTACAGTTGTGGAGGTTCAAAGGCATGTTTTCATCAGACAAGACCTTGTAGCAGAGGACAGTGTTGGGAGGTCCTGTAAGAGCCAAGGCTCATATTGCTGGAAAGGCAGATGTAAGAGTCAGCTTACTCTTCACCCCAAGAGAGCAGCACTCTCTTCAGAGAACACTCTCCCAAAGACCTAAAGACCTCCCACCAGGCCTCACCTCTTAATGATTCCATCACCTCCCATATCACCAAGCTTCCAACCCTGCAGTCCCGTCCCCCCCCCCCCCCCGGGCCAGCCACACCCCAACCACAGCGGTACAGATAGTTAAGGCGTGCCTCACCCGGTCTACTTTTAATTGCTGCGTAACTTATGTATGGAATCCAAAAGTCTAAATCACTGAAGCTGAAACTAGAGTGGTCATTGCCAGGGGTTGATGGTGGGAAGACGGGACTGAGTAAATGCTGATCAAAAGAGGAATGGACTCCAGAGCTCTGTTGTATAGCCTGGTGACTCCTTGTAAATCCTGGTGTGTGTACTTGAAATCCCTAGGGCTTAACGATTCTCATTATAATGCAGTGGGAAATGTATGAAGTAATGTGCCGATTAATTGGCTCATTTGCTATTCTACAACGTATACATATTTCTAAATATCACATTTTCAGTGGTAAGGATATGTAATTCTCCTATGTCAGGTAGAATAAATGAGGAAGATAAAAGGTTTTTTTTTTTCTTCTTCTTCTAATTTATGCCTGTCAGAGGGGCCGTCGGAGGGAGGGTGCGTATCGTGAGTGGGAGATCTTACGTTCTTCACGGCTTCCCAGCTGCTCACTGACAGTGATCAGCCCAATCTTGCCTCCTCCTCATACCCAGTGTTGTAATCCAACCAGGGGAGAAAATCTGGAGTGTTTATTTGGCAATCTACATTCATTCATTATTTTTTTCTTTCCCCCTCTGCTTAGGTGTTGACAAATCTCCTAGGACTTTGGAAGGCTGAATGGACTAAACATGAAGAGCCTGAAAGCGAAGTTTAGAAAGAGTGATGTAAGTACATGGTGACTCACGCTCTGGCTGCTCCACCATGCTCCACAGGCCTTCAGAAACAGCCCTGCTCCTGCCCTGATAAAGCTCTGGGTTAATGAACTACAGATTCCTGAAGCACCAGGCGCCAGCTCAACGTGACGTCTGTGAATGAGCGTGCTTTAGGTTTGCTGTTGTGTGTGTGTACAGCTTTCAGAACAGCCCGTGATAAATTCTTCAGGTCTGTGTCATGTAGAGGAAGGAACGGTCAAATTGAAGAATCGGTAAAAGCTGCCAAGATTCTGACTTAGAATGTCATTTTAATAATTTTAATTCACATTTATTATTAATTAATTTTAGGGTTTCTTTTTTTTTTTTTGAGAAAGAATCTTACTTTGTGTTAATGGCTGGTCTTGAACTCATGGCAGCCCCCCCTGCGTTCTAAGTGTTCACTTGCCACACTTGGCCAGAAAAGGGGTGATTCAGGAATTACATTATCAGCATTGTTCCTCTTGGTCTTTAAGAAACTTGAACTCAGTATTTATTGTTCACTGTTGCTTCATGCCCTACCCCACCCCCAAATTCCTGGGGTTCTCTCTCTTACTTGATGTCCATCATAGAAGACTCAGGATCGGAAGAACTGGGTATCGTGTCAGAATTCTCCCATCAGAGAAAATGGCAAGGGGTTGCGTAGTGATATTTTCACAAATCCTTACCCCCTAACCTGTAACAAGCTGCATTCCTAAAGCTTCAAGCAAAACTGTTGCTTGAGAGAAATTTATGGAAGAGCATTAGCCGGGAGCCCCAGAGAAGTCACTTTCAAAATACGCTTGCTCTATTCGTCACTGTTTAAGATTCCATAATTAAAAGTGAGCCTGGATTTTTGTGCTTTGCCGTGAATTTCATTTGGGCAGCTTGGCAGGAAATGGGGCTGCGTCGTTATGGCCAGTGTGCTGCACGCATACATGCCTGCTTATCTCTTGGACTACATTGTGACGTGTTGCTGTGTACGTACTGCTGGGATGAGAGGCCAGACAAGATGCTTTGCGGAGGACTACAAAGTACTGTCTCATTAACAACAACAACAGCAACAACAAGAAATCTTAGGGAAAAGGTCACTTCACTCCTACGGTAAATTAACGACCACTCAGAGAGTGTGAAGTGTCTTGGGCAAGGTCAGATTTGCCCCAGAGAGCTCCACTGATGACCCTTCCTCAGGTGCCCCTCCCCCAGGACAACTCTACCCCGCTCACCCACTGGCCAGGGGTTCTGTGCCTGAATATCACCTTTGGCTTAGTCTTGCCAAGTTCCCGAGACACCAGTCTACAAATTACCAAATTAGGGAATTTGGGGGTGGAAATGTGGCTCAGTGGTAGAGGAGAGCATTTGCCCAGCATTCATAAGGCCCTGTGTTCAGTTTCCAGGACTGCCAAGGGCCGGGAGAAATTGTTCCAGGAGGATTTGGACAGCTTCCATCGGTCCACATTGAGAGTATTGTAGCAGGCAGGATCTCATCGTGTCGGGGGTGTGACCTCTGAACCCGGGGCAGGAGGCTCCTATAGTCCTGGTTGAACAATTTTAAACTGGTGGCCATAGAGAGCGTGTTGCTGGAATCTCAGTTTTAAATAAAAAAATTGAAACATTTCCATGAATTAAAAAAAAAAAAAGATCACAATAATAACACTAGTAAAAGTCTTCGGAGATTTGGCTGCAAAAAGGTCTCGAGTTTGGCAGTGAGTGCTAAGAAGGAATGTCCGAGGAGCAGCCCTGCAGCCCTGTGGGAGGAGAGCAAGAGAAGTTGCGGGACTAGAGCCAGCCCAGTCTACAGGGCTTCCAGATTTAACTCAAATTGTTTCCTCAAGCGCCATCACTAGATAGGCACATGGAGGGAATAAAGACAAAAAGAAAGCCCTTTCCAGGCAAACCCCAGTTGATTAACCAGCCATATGGCGGTCCTGATGCTAAACAGGCTTTTATACCAGATACTCCATACGGCACTAGGCACTTGATGGGAATTCTTGCCACTAACCTCACGTGGTAGGTTTTATAATTAAGCAGTTTTCCAGAGTAAGGAACCGAAGCCTAGAGAGATGCAACAGTTTCTATCGATTCCTGTAGCTCTAAGTTGTGGAACTTGCTAAGAACTAAGTTGTTGCAGCCCGCTGTTGGAAGCCCAGGTTTCCTGAATGTAGGAGCTTGTGATGGAGATTTGGGTTTATGAAATGGAGAAATGGGTTTATGTTCCAGGGAGCAGCTTTGGACTTGGATTGAGGTTCATGGCCTTGGACAGCTGTCTTACTTCTTCTGATTGTAGGTCTTCATCCAAAGTTAAATGTGCTGTTGGGGGTCAGGCACACATCTCAGGGATTGATGCTTAGAAGACAAATAGTTGGTCAATACTTCTTCATCTTACTAAGGAACTTACAGATGATAAAAATGAAAGATCTTATAATTTATAGTCTAGAGATCCTTGGTGGAAGGAACCAGAGCGAGGAGTGAGTAGACCTGGGAGGCTTGCTTTTTAAGGGCATGCCTTTCACTTTGAGATATCTGTATGCATTACCGGTTACATATTCCCAAGAAAAACGGGTTTACAAATGATGGTGTTCACTAAAATGAGCCAAACTGTAATCTTCACTGAAGCGCGTGGTGTCTCTCGAGTGTCCCGAGCCACCCGGCAGCCCACGTTTCTGTGTGTCTTTGTGCAAGAAAAAAAGGGAAGAAAGGGTTCTTTGTGTGTCTGAGGGTAGGTAGCCGAGGACGGCAGATCAGGTTTGTGATTACATAAAGGGAAGACAGGTGACCTGCTGGTGTGATCACATTTCAGCCAGGCCGGGAGGGCTGCAGCCAGGTCACTTTGTGGCCATTGAGGAGGAGACTCAGGAGTAAGCCATAGGACTGAGAGTGACTGCAAGGAGTCCCCCGTGGGCGGCCTTGGGGTCACTCTGCTACGCCAGGACCATCGTGGAGGTGGAGATTCAGCAGGGGTGTGCTTTCTGGAAGACTCCTCAGCTTGACTTCCTGACTGAGGCAGGCTTATATGTATGTCATGGGGGATTCGGTGTGATGCTGTGGGCTGTGGTGAGATCCCTAAATATACTTGGGACCCCACAGTTAATCTGCAGGAGCTAAAGAGCAGCTTTCTGTAGGGGATGCTTGTCTTAGTGAGGGTTTCTGTGAGGAGACACCATGACTGTGGCAACTCCTATAAAGAAAACATTTCATTGATGGGGCTTGCTTACAGTTTCAGAGGTTCAGTCCATCATCCTCATGGCGGGGGGCATGGCAGCGTGCAGGCAGAAGCGGTGTTGGAGGAGTAGCAGAGAGCCCTACATCTTGCAGGCAGCAGAAAGTCCACTGAGCGACTGAGACACTGGGCGGTATCCTGAACACAGGAATCCTCTTAGCCCGCCCCCACAGTGACATACTCCCTCCCACAAGGCCATACTCACTCCAACAAAGCCACACCTCCTAGTAGTGCCACTCTCTATGAGATTATGGGGGCCAGTTACATTCAAACTACCACCATGCCATTTTTTTTTTTTAGTTTACATGAATAACTTGATTTGGGGTATCCTTACAGTTGAGCTAGATACTAGAGAGGAAGAAGACACAGAAGGAATGCAAAGTGTGAGTCGGGGGACGTTGTCTGAAAATAAGGATGTGGTGATGCAGACCCGACCAACACATGGGAAGTGAAGGGAGGAAGATTGGGAGTTCAAGGCTAGCCTTGGCTGTGCAGTGAATCTGTCTCCCCCCTCTCCCCACCCCACCCCAAGAAGCTGATAAAACTAAGTAGTAGGGGAGAGGTAAACATGTGCCTCAAATACTCAAGACAAAACACAAATAGAACATGGATACTGAATGGACCTTTAAGGTGAGCCCAACTCTGCCCCAAAACCAAAGCCAAATGTGGGGACTCACAGACTGGGAAGGCTGGTGACAGATGCTCTCAGTTTTGACAGTGGGAGGATTTGGGGAGCTTTGTGAAGGTGGAGCTTCAACCCAGGGGATTGGTATGTGTGGGAAGGATGAAGTTGGAGGAGTTGGGGAGCAAAGACTCAGTATGTTGAATCTCAAAATTTGTCCTTGGCAGTGTATTTAGTAAGACTTGATGAATTCAGGAGAGTGCCTCGGTTTGGGGTGTGGCTATGAGAGTGTTAGCAAGAACACCCTGAAGTATGCATTCAGTTTTCCAGATGCAGAGGCTGACGTCCATGCTTATGAGATAAGCCAAGTCCAAACCTTCATTATTTATATCCTTCCTGACTATATACGTCTACATCTTTTATCGTCTAGTTTCATGTGGCCCCTTTACCTCTTTAAACATTTGCAGCAACTAGCATGTAGTTCCATGTGGAAAAATCAGCTGTCATCATGAGCAATGAGGCCAGAAAGGCTGGGGTTTCCCTTTGCAAGTAAAACACTCTGGCTTTGGGAATTTCCTTGCAAACGACAATTTTTAGTGCCAGAGTGAAATGGGTAGAAGTTTGAGGGATGGATGGGAAATGGGACTGAAAGATCTTTGTCACAAACCTTGAGAAGTGCCATTCCAGTGTGACTGAGGGAGCCAGAGTTTATTTTGTGGCTGTGTGTTTGCTTTGATGAAAGATCTACTCCCAGTTATATGTTCCATTATAATCAAGAAATGGCAGACAGAGCGTGGAGAAAATCAGAGGAGCCACTTTAAAATGACTGCGTTCAAAAAAGACTAAATTGATGGTGTACCTGGATGTAGCAACTCCTGTCAGCTGCAGTCTTGAGCCAAGGAAATACCCACACCCCCTGAATCTTGAGGAACCAGACACATCCTGCTCAGTCAGGATCTGAATTTGTTGCCTGTTGAGATTATAGTTCTCATGAAGGTCGAAAACCGACATTGCTGCCAGGATTTTTTTTTTTTTTTTCAAAGAGTTTTTAGTCATTTATAGTAAGAATGCTTGAGTCACCGTGTGCACTCGTGTGTGTGCATGCGTGTGCAACACACACACACACACACACACACACACACACACACACACACA